GAGATAAAGAAGGACATTACATAATGATAAAGGGCTCAGTCCAACAAGAGGATATAACCATTATAAATATATGTGCACCCAATACAGGAGCACCAACTTACGTGAAACAAATACTAACAGAATTAAAGAAGGAAATAGAATGCAATGCATTCATTTTGGGAGACTTCAACACACCACTCACTCCAAAGGACAGATCCACCAAACAGAAAACAAGTAAGGACACGGAGGCACTGAACAACACACTAGAACAGATGGACCTAATAGACATCTATAGAACTCTACACCCAAAAGCAACAGGATACACATTCTTCTCAAGTGCACATGGAACATTCACCAGAATAGACCACATACTAGGCCACAAAAAGAGCCTCAGTAAATTCCAAAAGATTGAAATTCTACCAACCAACAAATATTATGACAGTTTACTGTGATTTTATTCCATCTAAAATACTCAGAATTTATCTGAGGTACAGTTGCATGGATAGGAATATTCCTGACCCAGTGCTTTATGATTTATGGGTCAATAAGCTCCTTTGACAATGGAATATAATATCCCTGACTACACAGGACACTTACTGTCACACTCTCACTGCTGCAGGATGGATGAGCCTCCAGCCTCAGGTTGTTAAAAGTCAGGGTGATCTGTCTTCCTTCCTGCACGGTGATCCTCCATTCACAGATCCGGCCATGGGAGTTTGGGTTCGGGTAGTTGGGAGAAGTAAATGTTCCAGTAGGGCCCCATAGATCCCCACCACATCCTGACAGGGGAAAAACACAAGAAAACTTCCAATCAGATCAAGATGACCCCTCCTATAAGGAATGTTCTCAAAATCATTTTTGGTCTTTTTATCCCACTAGACAAAAGCATTGCTCTTTTTTGTCACTACACGGATGCAACACTCAAAGAGAACATTTATATTCACTTCCTATCTCTAATATTTAATATTTAATGTTTGTTTCCATGGATGAGAGTTCACTGGCAGCATTTTATTCACATGGTCTAAGAAATATAAAAGACCAATAAATACAGTGCTCTTAAGAATCAGGACAATCAGATGGCTACAGTAATTATGTAACTTTTTTCAGACAGGATCTTTATTTCATTTTAGTCTGTCAAGGAATTTCAAATGCAAATTCTGATTAACTGGCAGACTAATCAACTGGCTTTCTTAAGATGAGCTGTATGTATGTACGACTCTCCGCCCTTCCACCTCATGCAGTGTTAGTTCCTTTCCTTAACAGCATGGGTCACCCTGTGGTCTGCACACACTGATGTGACTGATTACTGTCTGCCTCGCCACTAAACTGCAAGGTCCAAGAAGTCAGGACACTTTTTTTCCCAACTACTGTTAACTCCGGTGCCTAGCAGAGTGCCTATCCAGTGTAGGTGCTCAATTTATATAAATATGCATGTACATATATATGTATATATACATGTTTTAATATTCTCTTGGTTTCAGGTGCACAGCTGGTGATTCAACAATCACATGCATTACTAAATGCTCACCATGGTTAAGTGTAGTTCGTTAATGAATAAAGCACTTACCTTCCATGCTGGATTCAAACTGTAACCTGAATCCTGAGGCAGTAACAGAGTCATCTGTGCCAAACCTGACCACAGCAACATTGCTAGAAGTGTCTATGCTGTTGGGAATGGTGTTTCCACAGTATCTGCCCAATAGATCTCCTGTGAGAGTCAAATAACTAAGTATGTATACATTAATTTCATTTTACCTCTACTTGAGGTGTTCTGCAAGTAGAAAAAAAATAATGAAAGACAAAACCCTGCCCATGAAGAAATGGTAACCTCTATCAGGAGAAGCAGGACAGACATGAATAAACATCAGCAGATTCAAATATATAAGTCTAACAAAAAATGCAACCAATTAGGGCATCTTCTCAGCACAATTAGGAAGTCTAGCTCATTTGTTTTAAGAAGTAGTTCTGAGCAACAGAGTGACAAGCATCCATCTAATGTCACCTCCAGGATGCAGTTCCTCTCCTTACCCTGTAAATTGCCCCTCAACTGCATGTGGCATCGGGAGGTGTCGGCAGGAACAGGCTGCCTTCTCAGTACAGGGCTCTCTCAGTGTGGCCTCCAGGACAAGCTTACAGTGACATCCAGGGCTTTGGATAGCCACTATTTATGGGTAGGAGCTGAGGGAGAGAAAAGCTGGCAGTCCCAGACCTGAATGACCCATGCTTCTCTGTAAAGAACAGACACTGCTTTGCCTTTCTTGGAAGTGAGTAAACTTCAGAGGCTGAATGAGTACTTGTGAAAAGAAACACCCCCGAAAGACAGCAGACATATTTCACTGACCAGAGGTATGATTTTCCCAGATCTCCACAAAGTCTTTTTCACAGCCAGAGGAATTCTGAAGGTTAAAGTCTTCAAAATGGATGGTGAGGTAGTGTCCTGAGGGACCCTGGAGATGCCACTCACAGAATGAATTGTCTCTATATGGAAGTGTTGGATATCCAGTGCTTTCAATGATACCACTCTGCCCTGTCACTGTTCCCCCACACTGGGCTACAAAAAAGGAGGAATATTCTATTATAGTGGTTTATTATTTTTTTTAAAAAAGCACATCTAAAAACTTTAAGGTGCCAAGTAAATATGAATTGAAATTCTAAAAATTCTGAAAATGATTAGTGTTTGCCTTATTGCTTAAAATCTACTATTGCTGTAAAGATAAATGACACCACAAGTTCAATCCAATCATGGGAAATGGAGGATGGACAAGCTATTGAATGGCATATTCTGCAGCATCTCTTTAGTTCTCTTGCAACCCTATGTAAGAGCTATAAGTAGCAATTAGGTTTCATTTCAAGAACCAACTGACATCTTGATAGGGCCTGCCATGTACCCTGTGTTGGTGATTCTGAAGACCAAGTTCCAGCTTAGGTGGCAGGGGAGCTGTGGTTGATGAGTAATGCCGGTCATTCCTAGTTTATCAAATAAACGTTCTACTCAGTAACTGGTATGTCAGGGCCTTGAAAATTACTCTTCAATTATTTCTTCTCAGCTGGATGTGGTAGTTTGATTGAATTGTATACAACTTGCCTCAGGCCACAAATTGGCCTGTAGTGTAGGTTAAACACTGCTACAACTAGGCTTTCTGAATTTTGGCTGTATTAAATGTTTGGGTAGTGTTTGGGCCCACCAGAAATTAAATTCTATGTAGTTGTGACCATATTATAGTGAGTTCTCAGCATGCAATTTATTGCTCCTTTTTTAATTAAGGAAATCAGAACCTAAGGAGACATTTTTTGCTTTTTGTGTACTGACCGATCTGCCATTAGATAGTAAGAGGAAAAACATCTCAATTATCTAGTAATGATGAGGAGTTCAAAGTTACTGTTCTAAATACAGTTGTTTGATTACAAAAGAACTTTTCTATTTAAAGTAATACTATAATATTTCATGTTAAGAGGAGTTAGCAAGAATTTGATTTAACTGAATGTTTTTCACAAGCAAGTTAGGAGAAAAAATATAAAATATTCAACTTCACTAAAGAGAATCTTTTAAAAGGGAAACAAAGTTAAAATGAAAATCAATAAATGACTTTGTAGTCTTGAACATTTATGTTCTTTATTTCTATAATTAAAATGATTATTAAAATTAGGCAGAAAGACTTTTTAAAAAACAGTATGTTTTTTTAAAGTTTTAATGTAATTAAATACTTAATTACATGTGTAATGTGTAAAAAATACTGTTACCTATGGAATATTTGGCCTTGAATCCCACATGCGTGGGGCTGTTGTCAGACCGGAATCTCAAATATATCATCTCTCCTGAGGACAAGTGACTGCTGGGCAAAAATGTCCCACAAAGCTTGGAAAGTACCGGTGCATTTGAATCAGCTCCATCTCGCAACTCGAGGTAATTTGATGTACAGCTAAGGAGGAAAGAAAATTCTGTGTAATATGTAAAGTCAATTGCTTTGACATATTTTGATAATAAAGACTTAACTAACTTTCTCCACAAGCATTATTAAATTGTCATTTCTGTATCAGAAGTCACTATGACAGAGTCTGTTTAAGCTGGAACGCTGCATAATATTTTCCTAATCATAATATGTTCTTTAGTTAGTAGCTCAAACAGACAGGGTTTACACGAACCACACTGAAGAACATTTACTTGTCTTCTATGTTCTGTATTAGTTTCACAAATATAAAAGGCATTTGCAAATGAATCCCGAGGAATTTAAAAACCAAGTATTTTGTTTCATAAGATGATATGACACATTTTACATGACAAACATGAACTCTCTTGACAGCTCTTTGACCCAGGCTGATAGGGTCTCAGCTGTAATTTTCTGTCTACAAAAGTGGGGCCAAAATTTACCCATTACTGTGTGAGAAAGTCAATCATCCAATTAACGCTCCCTGAATGGGAGAATGGAAGTATGTGAGAAGACCAGAAACGGAAAGCAGAAGCTCTTGTACTGAAGTTTCGTACCATACGTATATTCAGGTAAATGTACACACACTTTTGTGAAATGAAGAGAATAAAACAGATTTTTTTCAATCTATGCAGTTATTTCCTTTTTGTTCAATATAGTAAGACTTACTCTCTGGTGTACAATCCTGTAAGAATTCTTATTAAAGATTGGGAAAGTGGAAAGTGTACTGTACTGGCTTTCATCCTTTCTCTGACACTGGTGACTCCTGGTGTTGTATAACAAAATTTCCATTTGTTAAATGGATATTTTATAATTTATGACATGAGTATGAGACTGGGAAAATAAATACTCCTTGACCAGAGACACTATATTTTTCCGGTGGCAAGAAAAATGAGTAACATAAATCTGAAACAGCCACTGTCACAGTCTCCTGGAGGATGTGCACAGGTCACGAGGGACAAAATATTTGTTCATCATCTGCTCAGCCAACGTGAGAGTGGCTGGCAGGCAATGTTTTCAGGCTTGAGGTGTTAAGCATTTCCTTCTCCATCCCTAGATTTTCTACGCAGTGTATGCTGCTGAGAAAAGAAGGAAAATGTTCTGAGACATGACAGCTAAAGAATACTAACTCTGGGTAGAAGAAATGTTAAATGGAGGTGACTTACTTGGGTGTTACTTCAATATTGAATTGATCTTCAAACTGTAGCCTTATTAGCTTTCCAGGAGGAGCAGCTATGAGCCAAATGCAATCAGCATGCTGGGGATAATTGTTAGGGTGGTTGGGGGAGGTCACATATCCAGCAGAATCAGCACCATGGATATAGATATTGCCCCCACAGGCTGTCAGAAAACACAGTTAAATCAATCTACAGTCTTCAGAAAGAGGATACAGTCAACTGCCAGTATCATTTTTAATGTCTCTTTATCTGAACTTCTAATCTTGATTTTGTTTCATGTGGAATTATCATTTCCTTTTTAAGCAAATAAATCTTGAATTTGATATTGAGGGAGCTACCATGTGTGTCACTTTTTAATTTACTGAACCATAAATTTTCATCAGAAACGTCACTCTTCCTTAAAGCCAACAAAATGATTATTGCACAGTAACATGCAGTAGAAAATCATGGAGGCATTAATACACATCCACCCCTTAGATAAGCCTATACATGAAAGACTAAGTAGATATATTTTTTACAGCTTTCTGGGCATTCATTCATTATATTTATTCAGGATTCAGATGCATTTGAAGAGCAAGAGATGAATGCATGATAGAATTCATTAGCCAGTTTTTGCAAGAAGATAAATGAGCTTCTTATATACTTCTTTTCTACCAGACTATAGTATTATGTAAAAATACTTTCCTTTTATCAATAAACATTTTGAGCACTCTCAGCAAACAAACCAGGCCAGAGTAAATTGGGTACTTGCAATGACAAAGAGATGAACCTAGTAAGATAGCCTCACAGATACCAGATCTGCTAAACTCTAGTGACATTTATTTCCACTGTCATTCAGCCATTAGGGTCATATCCTAAATTTTGTCATTACCCAGAATTACTTCTTCATCTGTGAAACCCTGCACTGCAAATTCCTTTGACTGTCTTTGAACTCTTTCTGTTGGTCTTTCATTCAGACTCTCCTTGAAAAAATGCAATTCTGTGATTATATCTAATTCAAACTATTCATGAAAACCAATTACAAATGCACGTTCTCCACTCTCAACACACCAAGCAATCCCTCCCCACTTTTTCATACAAACACCAAAAGCTCTGTGAACCTGGCTTTGCACTGTGAGTCTTCTCCTCCCCACTCCCTCTACAATCTCAGCTCCCCTTTAGAATGAAAATCAGATGGCACTCCCTCAGTGCATTACCCCTTATTGTCACAATCCTTAATAAAGTAATTTGTGTGTCTGTCTTTATACCTGCCCTGGACACTGGCCTCCCCTATCTCCAGGTGGGCAAGGTCCCTGGGCACTTATCACACTTAACACCTGTTCTTACAGCATCTTTTTCTGTCCTCTGCACTGTGAAGTCCTTGATAGAATATGGTAGTGTGCATGGGGTGAAGCATTTAGTAAATATTTCATACATTAATTAATAAGCCAGTTCATCAGGTGAGAATAAAAAGCATCAAGTACAGAGTTATAAAAAATCTCCATCCACCATACTGAAGGAGTGTCTCTGGAGAAAGAAAGATGTACAGAGCTAGGTGAATTTGCAGTCAGTAGTTGTCCACAGAATAGCGTACATTAAAGGCTGATAAACAGGAGTGGCATAGAAGTAGGTCACTGGGAAGACAGAGAAAGTAGAAGGCTGACAGTTGTTAGGGAAAGGATGAAAGAGAGAGTTGGGAGAAACAACAATGGTTATGCTGTTTACTGAGCAAGAAGTTTTGAAGTCCACAGACCTTTAGGTCTAATATTAAAGGCAGAAAGATGGGGAGAAGTCACATCCTTACATGAATAGAGAATCCACAAAGAACAAAAGAGTCAGTGTTTGTAAATCAACTCTAAGTGTATCTGAATCATCACTAAATGTTGACTTTAAAAATGTAATTCAAGACAGAGTCATCTAATGGGTTAAGCAGAGTTCTGTGGAGTGGGCTGAAGTCTACTCCCTGGACTCAAGGCCCTCTTGCTCTACAAAGCCTCAGTAGCAGGTAAAGTCCTGCACATTCACAGCTCAGCAGCAAAGCTCAATGTGGAGAAAGGGAGGGATCAGAAACTCCCTGTACAGCACTAAAGAGTGATGGTGCTGGTGTTCACAGGGCTGTTTTTAAAGGCTCCCCAAGTGTCAGAGCTGTGTGTACTGGGAAGCAAAAGAAGTACCTTCCCTGGAATCAAGCTATTAGATGATTTCCTGTGTCAGTTGGAGACTATTTCTTCTCCTTTCTCAAAGTGAAAAAATTATGCTGACATTTTGCAGAATGTATGGCTTATTTAGATTAATATGTCTTTTGAAATATATTCAGGAATCTGGGATTGCGGTCAAAGGATTTTTGTGAAATCCATATTATCTAATTTTGGAGGACAAGCAAAGATTTACTTAATCTCTACTGACATTACTCTTTTTTAATACTATGCTATTTACACTTATTTTTTCAATTGAACATTATATAAAAATGAAAGTCACAAAAATTAAGTCATTACCGTAGATATAATTATAATCAAGTACAATTAAGTAAAAGTAATTAAAGATCACTACTGGGATTAAGTAGAAGATGGAGGTGTGAGTACAGCAGTGGAAATCTCCTCCCAAAGCCACATATATCTATGAAAATATAACAACGACAACTCTTCCTAAAATAGAGACCAGAGGACACAGGACAACATCCAGACCACATCCACACCTGCGAGAACCCAGCGCCTCGCGAAGGGGGTAAGATACAAGCCCCAGCCCGGTGGGACCCGAGCGCCTCTCCCCCCAGCTCCCAGCGGGATGAGAGGAGTCAGAGCGGGAGGAAGAGGGAGCCTAAGACTGCTGAACACCCAGCCCCAGCCATCCAGACCAGAGCGCAGACACAGTACATGCGTGGGGTCCTGGATACTAGGGAAACAGAGCAGCAGGACCGGTGAGCGGCTGCCTGAGGCCAACGCCAGAGAACAAAGAAATGGGAGTGGCCATTTTTTTTTCCTCTTTTTTTTTGGCAGGTGCTTTTTGGAAGTCTTAAAGGGACAGGGACCCCAATACTTGGGAAACAGGGCAGCAAGACCGGTAAGTGGATGCCTGAGGCCAGCACCTGAAGACAAAGAAACTCGTGCATCTTTCTTTTTTTTTTTTTT